TAGGGAAAGCTTTGCTGTCGGGATGCTGTAACACTTGACAACCTGACGAAAAGTGTTAACAAGGCACTCGGTAGCTGTAACCGCACTATAACTACTTGGAGAGTGGTAGAGCAATCTGTTCTCGCGCGCTTTGTCTTTCTTTCTCTACGGGTTTCACATACATGTTCTCTGTTTCAATGCTTAATCATGTATGTATGTATATATATATATATGTGCCATAATATACACATGTGCGCATGTCCAACCGCTGTTACAGACACAAGTGTTGTCTGCATGCCATGCATTTCATCCGTTTCCCAAGGAATCCTAAAGAAGCCCCAAGCCCCAAACCCAAAGAAGCCCGCTAAACCCGAAACTCAACACCCTAAACCTAGAAGCCCGAAAATGGCAGCGCCTTTCCAGCTCGCTCCTTTCAGCCAGGTGCTTTGCCATGGCATCCTCGAAGCTACCAAACTGCTTCGAGTTTAGGGTTTCAGGGTTTAGATTTCGGAGTTCAGGACTGAGACTGAAATTGCTGGACTCAGTGGCTCCAGATAATCTTTTTGGATTCTAGACTCATGCCTGGTATACATCTTGTATGCTTGTTAGGGGTTTGTGCTTGTTGGTGCGATGGTTGCTATAGGGTGGTGTTTTCTATAGTTTTTAATAAGGGTTCAGGGCCCCAGTGTTGTTAACGCATTCAAGGCTTGGCAGTTTTGGGCTGCGGGGCTTTAGGGCTCAGTGCCAGGAAGCTTGGAGGTTTCAGGGTCCCCGAGTCCACCGTTTAGGGTTTCGGAGCTTAGGCGGTTTTAGTTCTTCACACTTGTGTTTTCCGGGCTCGCGAGGCTTTGAGGGTTCAGGGTAATGTAACTGTAGCGGCTTCGTAGTAGTGCCTCCTGATGACCCTACACCCTAGACTCTGAACCGTAGTCTGATGACAAGGCTAATCGCCAAATGAGGGGGTGTGTTTAGCAGGCATGGTGAACCGGAATCGCAGTGTCTAAGATATATGGTAAACCGCCATCGCTACAGGACGGGGCATGCTTGCGATATATGGTGAACCGGCATCGCAAACGAGGGGGGGCTTCAGACATATTGGGCAACTAACTTTAATCGCCAAATGCATCATGAAACGGAGTTGCCAAATGAGAGGGCGTGCCTCAGATATATCATAAACTCATAAACCGGATTCGCCAAATGAGCGTGCGTGTTTAACGTACATGATGAATCGGAATCGCCAAAAAGTTTGGTGGTTTTTGAGATACGTCATGAACTGGAAACACCAGATGAGGGTGTGTGTTCAATAGCACTACAAGGACCAGGACTGACACCACTGCTACTACCGCTACGACTACTCCTACTACTACTACGACTCCTCCT